TAATATGTCTGGTTTATTTTAAGTTATGATTACATCTGTTAGATACTATTGTATAAAATAAAGTATGTTTTGTGAAAGGGTGTGTGTAGATGGCAAAGTGACTGCTGGTCACAAATAGAACTTACTCTGATTGTCTGGTCCTAAATGGAGAAACTGATTTGTATCAAATGTCATAATGTATTAAATATATCACCCTCTTCCTCTCCCCCTCTCTTACAAAACACAGTAAATGAATAAAAGTTACCAATACCTGCAATCTAATTTGAAATCCACTTTGAATAGAGGCCAAGTACATGTTTTAATAACCTTTCTCTGTACTTCAAACAAAAGGCAATATTTGATAGATCAGATTCAGTCTGTACCTACTGTAACATTATGCAGATAATTGATAAATATCAAATGCATCCTATCCTCCTTTTTCCAACAAAAATCTCCTGTAAAAATTAAAACCCTCCCTTGAGAATCATGAAAAAGGTAGGAATGAAAATAAAAATAATTGCAAAACTCGAAATGTTAACATCATGCATTATGAAACTCCTTTTCATTCATACCTTTTTTTGACATTTTTTACAATAAACTTAATAGGTACATTCACAGAATAAAGCTTTTTTCTGGCTTTCAAGATTCAGATACAATTACCAAGTAATCCACAGGGTAATAAATCACTTATAAGTAGCCTTAAGTACAAACATGCTTAATTTTATGTATTAATAAGTTACTCATGTGCAGATTTAGTGGGGGATAAAAAAATCCTATTAAACAGCTTATACCAATGGGAGAAAAATACTATTGTAAAATATTTTTTTTAATACCAACAATCTTCAATCAAAAGTGTTATAATAATTAGAATATACAAAATAAATGAAAATGGAAAACAAATAAAAATGACTCATATGAAAATGTTTAAGGTTGTAAAAAAACTAATACAATAAAAATAGTAAATAAATCATTCTTCATGCAATGATGTGATAAATACAAGTGTTCTACAGTAAATAAGTACATACTTTTGATTAATAAATAAATGCTTTTAATATCCCCCAAACATTAAAAGATAAGATAAATAAGATTCCCAAGAATAAGCAATGTTCATTAAAGTGATGGCATTTTTCCTTGACCTATTACTGTAAAATGAAAATACTTAAAGGAAATCTATCATTTCAAACCACTTTACAGTGAACAACCATATCAAGACATATTTTAAGTAACAGCTGCACAGAAACACAAAGGGCAAAAAATATACATTGTAGTCTCTCATTAACATTATACATTGGATCACAGCTTGTCTGGATTTTAAAGCATAATGCCTCTTTGGTAATGAAATAAGTTTGCATGCCACAGAGAATAACAAAAAACTAGTAAAAAGAAACATAAAGCCAAACACACAGATATGAAAATTAAATTAATGATACTTGTACTTGTAAACTTTTTGCCCAGAAGAACATAATGACTACCTACAAAACTGAGATACCTGAATATTCTAGAGCTATTACTCAAAACTTATCACCTACATATAATTGCCCTAACCCTTTACCTAATGAACATATGAATCTGCCAACTACATTCGTAATGATTTTAAAGAAAATCAGGCTTCAGTATTCAAAAAAAGATATTGACATCAGGATGAACAATGTATAAATAATCACTGGTTAGTAAAATGCTGAATATAAACAAATGTTTCACTACAGTTTAAGACCACAGACATTTAAGGGCCATTAAATTTGTGTATGGCAAATCAATGAGACCCATTTTAGCACAAGTTCCAAGCCTGCATAAAACAGGGAAAGTTGTGGTAACCAGTGCATCCAGTATAATACTTGTGCCACATCAGCATATGAGAAACATGTCTGATAAACAAATTGATGGGCAGACAAATGAATTGGAAAGGCCAGAAACTGTGTCCTTGAGCCAGAGAAGTATGGCAGCATAAAAATGTATTTTAAATACTCAAGTACCGATTCATCATATGAAACACTTTTTAATCAGATAAGCAAACTAGGCACTGGAGCAGTCAAGCAAGATTCCTGAGGTGCCAGTCCCAAGCTAAAAGGTAGGAAGCAGGAAGGCATCTGGTCATAAAATCTATGATTGGCATTTTAATGGTTAGGCAAAATCAGAAATAAAAGCAGGACAATTCCCCAGGTCTTTATCAAGCCAGAAAACCTTGACTGTACTGGGTGCTTCACACAATAAATAGACAGCAAAAAGCTCTAGTATGATAGATCCCCACAGACAGGGATGACAGGCTTTCCGTGAATGTCTACCTAACCAAGTATGGGTTAGAGATGAGAAAAATAAATAAATATATAATATATTTCTAATTTAAAATGCTGTTTTTCTCTCTTTTTTAAAAGTACTAGGAAACCACCATTCCAGGCACACTCGTCTCCTCCAGCCAACAATCTGGGATCATTATTTCTAATAAAAACAAGTTTATCTCACTTTATATTAACAAAACAAATACTCAAACCTAGAATTTCTCACTCTAATAAATGAAGTTGACTGACTTCCGTAGAAAGTTTTATCATTAATGCCTTTTACCTTAAAGGATAATGTGGAAAAAACACCTTAACTGACAGACTCATACTTACAAAGTAAAGGGTTAAAGAAATCAGTTATGATAAAGCACCTTACTTGAGTTTTCTTATTGCCATTAAGTTTTCACAAGTTCCCTCCATTTTTTTCTACACCTCCCAGCGCAGTCAGTATATTTTTCAATCAAAGAGAGCTTGATATCACAGAGTAGTAATAGTTCAGAAATATTTTTATTCACAACGTACAAAAATGATATGACATCTATTTATACACATATTCTCACTGTATCTTACTTTGTTTTTCTTTCAGCTTTTTATCTTTGAGAAAGTCACATATTCACCTTGGCTTCCCTTGAAGAAACTCTGTACTTTGACATTCAAAAACATCTATACGAAATATTATTGCACGATCAGGATGATATCGTAGGCCAATACCTGGACTCTCTTGAGGTAGCAAAAACTTGGAAGACTCTGAACATTTGATTATCATCATCATTATTTCTTCTAAAAATATGTAACACTTCTATTCATGCCCACAGTAGAAGAGAGAAATCCCCCCACCCATAATCTGCTGACCTTTTTTTCATGAGAAAGAGATATAAAAATAATTAATATCATTTATATCCAGCTGCCTCTCAAAGCCTATAGTTCATCTGTTACCGACACCACACTTATCCTTTCCATAATGATTCTATGCATGGAGGGTCTTTCTGCCATTTCATCAAAAGGATAGTGTTTTGATAAGAGGAAAAAAAAAAAAAAAGTTTTCCTACACTTAACTTTAGATTCTAAGCTTGTTCTTCGCCAGCTATAAATAACAGAATAGGTAGAACAGTGAGGCATATAAAAGTGCTTTCCTTATTTTACTGTACTATGCAACCCTTTCAAGACAGCATTCATCTGTCTATGAGAAAAAATTAAATTCAAAAAGGGAAAATAAAAATTCTGCATTATAGTTACAACTAAAACACAAAGAACATAACAACCAATACACACAACAACAATAACGGCAACAGTGTTAACAAAATCCTTATTTAATAAAGACTCTTGCCTTTCTCTTAAGTAACCAAATATCACAGGTGAGAAAAGATGAATGCTGTTAGTCCTTTGCAGAAATGCCATTACAACCAAAGACCATTCTGTAGTAGGCATACTCCAAACCCGTCTGGTGCCAATAGACCAGGGCAGCGACTATGATGAGGTGCCACAGCTGGTGCGAAGCCCCGATGAAGTCAAAGCGACCTGTACATACAAGAAAATATGAATTCAAGTAAAGATCAACTGATGATACTTTTTGTGTGACGACATTATTTGGATATATAACATACTATGGGATCCCTAAATAACTATAAACCAGAAACATATTAAATGAATTATTTTGCAGTTCTGTATCTTTCTACTACAGGTGTTTTTCATTATATTACTTTCCACATGTAATTGTGTAACATGCTCCCTGATCAGATGTGTCAACTTACAACATTTTAGACACAGAATATTTATAAAATGATCAGTATTATCAACCCTACAGAAATAAATATAAACATGAGGCTTTACATGAACTGTCCAAATTAAGGGTAAGTATAAGAGAAAGTTTTTTTTTTTTTTTTTTTTTTTTAACTGTTGTTGTTGACCATGCTTGGTGCCAAAACACTGAACAATGGCTCATCTACAAATGCATAGATACATAGTTGCAGATCACATAACCATGGTATAGGAAGATCAATTCTCACAAACAGATGCCTAACCATGATGAAGAATATAGTAGTTTTGACTTGACTTATGACAAGTATTAGAACCTAAAAAAAAGATGTATAGATAAATTACTAATATCTTAATGACGTAAAGTATTACGACCTACCTGGAAAATATCTTTCAGGTATTTTCCACATATAGACAACTACAGCTGTCCCACTGATGGCATACATCATGAAGATACGAGGTAAGAAAACCTGAAATTTTGAAAGAGAAATAAAATACTTAATTCAGAAAAAGACAAAAAGAAATATTCAAAAGTATACAATTTTTTTTTCCTGATGGAGGAATTAGATATCAATGGACATATTAAAACCAATGGACATATTAAAACAAAATAGCAACAAATACAATGTATCCTAGTTTTCTTTACTGTGTAAGATTAATAATATTTTCTTGATTAAACATACATAATAAAAGATAAATATGGTTAAAAAAAAATATTGATGGGAGTAGTACCTTCAGTGAAATATTATGAATGAAGGTTTACCCAAAAATTCCTATTTCTCACCCATTACACTAACTCTCTTACATAATCATTTATCAGCTATAATAGGCATGCACAGGTACAGTTGCACAATATATATATATATATATATATATATATATATATATATATATATATATATATATATATATATATATATATATATATATATAGACTATATATATATATATATATATATATATATATATATATATATATATATATATATA